TCAATAAGCCACTACGATTCTGAATGGAAGTAGAATGCGTGCCGCATCCCACAAAGGGATTGATCAACGGCGAAGACTTTATCCTTTATCCTTTTATCCGAGCATGAAGGATATACTACTTTCGCAACTCAATAACAGTTGAGGAAAGCGCGACCCGCTCGTGACGAATCCACGGCTCCGCCCGCTGGCCACGACAACGCCTAACTTTCATTTCTAAAGGAAAGGTATGGTGATGCGGTTGTTCCGCTACTAGCTCTCTCCATTTTGAATGGTGAGGTGATGTGATAAGAAGAAGTGCTGTTTCCAACAAGGAAACTCGTTCGACTACCCCCCTTTGCCTTCACCGCAGTTCAGCAGGGACCCTCTACTGGACATTTTGAGAGCGTTTTTTTTTCTGCCTTTCCCTTCACTCTTGTGTTATTCGCCATTTTGTCATTAGTACATGAGCCAGACAACTGGTCAATTTCGAAAGCGGAACGTGTCTTCAAGCTAATCGAAAGTAAACTGCGTTTCAGTCGCGGCACTTGAACAAAGTACTAACCTTTGCCTTCTTCTTCGTACTCGTAGAGACCGAATTCGTTCCGTGAGACTTTTTCTTTTCAGATTTTTTGTCGCCGGATGAGAATCGGCGCTTGTTCCCTTTCCTCGATGGCACGCGATCCTCAGAATCAGAGCCAGATTCACTATATCGGTTAGAAGACATGTCTGACGCAGGTGGTGACACACGTTTTCTTTTCTGCAATACAGACTTAAAACGTTAGGCATGCGCTAAACAAGTTCACAGCTAGCAGACGTGCACCAAGCAAATATGAAGTGACGTAAGCTTACCACTTCCACCTTCTTTTTTTCCACGGCTACTGCTTTTCGTGCAGGTTGTATGACTTCTTCTGAATCACTTGATGATCCTGAGCTAGAGTCATCGCTCAGTTGCTTCAGTTTTCGCCTTGCAGGTTTCGTTGCTGATGATGTTGTCAAGGATGATACAGATGAAGACGTCATAG